GGTATGTGACTTTTGCTTGAATTTTATGTCAGCTTTGAATATCCAATGAAGAGAAACTGTCATGATCCTTTTTTTCTTCTTTATAAATTGATTGTCACCAATAAAAAATGCTTTACTTTTACCTCTTGACTATTTTACACAGTGGATCAAGCTGACTTAGGAGGTTTAATTTATTTCAGCTTCTTTAACCACGCTGTGTTTTCATTGCTGACTATTTGCCAAAAAATATCCCATGGAAATTCTTTTATCTGATGACTGTGAAGTGCAGTGAGTTAGCAGTTAGTTATTTCCCTTTCTCTTAAAACAATTGTGTCAGTGGTGTAACACTGGCTTGGTGGGATGTCATCAGGCTGTAGTTTATGATGTAGCATGGGAAACTCCAACATAGTCTTGTATGATAGTTTCATATTTTAATAAAAGAATGATTTGATGAGAAGCCTGCTGAACATGTAGGGCAATGCAGGCTATAGATAAAGTAAGCTTGTGGCTTAATGAAAATTCTATCAATTTGACTAACTTTGCCACCTTTTGATCAAAGATAGATTTAGAAGATTTTCTTTAATTCTTATTCAAATGCATTTGTGTATTTAATGTATATAATTTCCAGCACAAAGAAGCAGTTGAAAGGGCTCTTCAGTAACACACAAAGCTTCCTTGGTATACCTCTGAATCAGCAAACAAAACACTGTCAGTGGATGCTGTAGCCAGCTGTTATTGGCATGGGAAAATATGAATGGATGGTACTCTGATTTTATGAGGCTTTGAATACTCTATCTAGAGAGAGGAGTGAACACACTCTTTGATTTTTTCTTTTTTTCTTCTTATACTAGTTTGTCCCTTAATATCTCTTTTAATAAGAAGCAAGTCTGACTTTTTCTCCTGGCAAAGAATATAGAAGATCTGCTTTTTCACTGGATGGCTAGCACATAAATCACAAGGTTGTGGCACAGAAGTCGATCTATCAAGGTAGCTATTACTAATTATTCATCCTTAGGGAACAGTGTGGCTTAAGATTTGGACTCCAGTAACAGTACAGAGCTTTTCACCTCCTGCATTACTGGGTTTGTTGAATCAGAGTAGTGCCCAAAAGTCATTACCATCTGATGGCTGTGGGCCGGTGTGAAATGAGTTATTGGGCTTTATCCAGATTCTAGTGGAGGAATTCCTGTCCAAATCACATAACTATGGCTATAGTTGGCAAGGGCTGGAGTTCTTACTGGCAGCCAAAGCAGAGCTCTAAGACTGACTTCATGTCAGAAGGTGCACTCCCTATGTGGAGCTTATGCTCTTACATGGGTAAATGCAAAGAAGCTAAAAGAGGTGGTTTTCATTTTGTGTGTAAGGTATCACAATCTTATAGACTGCATTTAAAAAGTAAAATATGTCTCATTCTGTTAATTCACTGGGTAATGCAATCACTTTTCTATCTTTAGAAAGAAGATAGAAAAACGAACTGAAAAACAGAAACAGTTTGACACATAGAAAGGGAGAATTCAATACTTAAAAGTGAAGTGCTAGTGATTTGATTACCTTTGATTATCTTTGATTACCATGAAATCCAGGAATGATGGGAATCAAAATAGAACATTTCTAAGAAGGTTCATTTGTTAACATGAGGGTTTAGACTAGATACTTTAGTCATTCCAGTAGTCACCCAGGCTATACAGAAAAAAGCAGGCACACGTGAGCACACAACCTTCTTTTTCGTTCATAAGGATGAATCACAATACAGTTGAGTAGTTGTACAGATGGAAATCTTTCATAAACAGCAGTCCCAATAGACTAAGAACTGTAGAGGGCAACTGCCTGTTCTTGTGGTACTTTGTACATCCTGATGAAATTCTGAGGGCAAGCTGAGAAGGTCAACTGAATTTGATGAAGAAGTACAGGACTGCAGGTGACCTATTGCTTGCATTAATGGCACTTGAATATGGCCCTTGAGGAGCACTTTCAAAGCCCAAAAGATTTCTAATTGCTAGACAGAGCCAGGTCTGCATGATCAGCATGTGCTTGTTACAATCCAGCAGCAAAGGCAAGAATAACAGACCTAGTCATCTGAACTTTGACACCTGAAATAAGGAAGAACTTGCTGTCAAACAATAGAAAGCTCATATTGTGATAGGGTTCATCCTACACACTTTATATTTTAAGGGTGGGAAATTCTGATAATCTTTCTGCTCTGAAGTCAGGCAGGCATAGAATTCAAAAGACCAAGCAGAAACTCAACTTTGACCAGGAGATTTCTTTAATGTAAGGTGAAATATCTGAATTTCAGAGGCAAGAGATTTTTTTAAGCTAGGTCCCTGGAAATTAAGGCCTGGGAGGAACAAGAGAATAGAGTGAGAAGGATTTTCTTTTGAAAATAAGAGTCTAAGAATATGAGATTCTTTTATTTGTATTTGGTTGTATACATTGGGCACTGAACTGCAATGGTTTTCCACTACTTTTGACCCCGTGCATGAGTTGAAAGCAAAATCTTAGATTATCCCCTATTTCACACTCTTAGAAAATGTAGCTTTGAATGCCAGCTTGCCTAGTCCTGTGTTTTCTAGAAGGATGTTACACCTCCAAACAACCACCTGTTGCTTTAATGTTACTTTAGATTTCTGATTTTAGTTTAGCAGCTCTTCTCTTTTATTTAAAAAATATTTTAAAAGTACAGACAGGTCTAGGAATGTAAGCTATTTACAGCAAGTTCTGCAGCTCTTTTTGAGCTTATTCTTAATGAATGATGGACAGAGACTGTATTGGGGTCTTATTTATTGAAAAAGGATTTGACCTATCGTATGTATCATGAGGTAGATATTTAGCTATTCAGTCTCCTTCACATACATGAAAAAACTTTTTTTTTTAAGTAGTAGATATAAAATGCTTTCATTTTTTCACTCTTCCTTTGCTGAGGAAAGATCCCTAATGGAATTGCAGATGCTTATAGAAAAAAACACAGAAATGTTACACGGAGTATAGAATTTCACTCAGTTACCTCATGAGTTAGCAGGTCACTTTGTTGCCTCATGAGCTTGAAATTTGAAAATTCTTGACAGGAATATTAATAATATAACATTCCCCATTCACTGTAAGAATACAGGCAATCTGCTTACTGGAAGAACTTATTTAATAAACTCTGAGCCTGTGACCCAGGGACCAAATCTCTGTTGATGTTAATTTGTTGTACACATCAACTACATCAGCTACATATCAAAGCATCATAAATATGTTATGAGAAACAAAATGCTTTTTTGCATCTTTTTCCTTAAACACTTTCTGTATTTTAAGTGATAGCAATGAGCAAATGATCAGACAAGCGAACCAAACCATTACGTTCTAATTTTCTACTTTTTAATAGTTATTAAAAATATTAGTCTTCAACAGCCAGTTGCGTCATGAAGGCAATATCTTGATGCTGAGCACAAGGATTACAAGCACAGAGTTTGTTTTATAATGAGTTTTATGGTTTGGCTTTCAGAAAACATGAGCTAATCAAAACCTCCAGTTGGTTTCAGTGGGATTTGTAGGTACTGAACAAATTTGATGATCAAGCTCTTTTTCATAGATGTTATAATTTGATCTGGTGAATGGTTGTAATTCATTTGTCATCATAATATGCAAAGAGTGAAAGGGCTGTAATCTTTAAAAAAAAAATTGTTTAAATAACACTTTTCTCACACAAAAGTCTCATTTTCCTCAGTGTTTCCTCAGTTTCCTCAGCTTTTTTCCCCAATTTGCTAGGGTATTCCCCAATTTGCTCACTTGAAGATGAGAGCATATCTGCCAGCTGTTGCCAGTGTCTGTATGAGTGCAGGCAATTCCTACCATGCCTTTTGCCTGCTTTTGCTCCAGCCTTACACTATCTCAGGATATTTCAGCCTGTTATCAGCCCTTGCTTGCCATCCCACTCCCAAAGCAGCTACTTATTCCTATCCCCTCTGCCTGTTTGCCCACCCCTTCTTTCACTAGGGAGTCAAGGAGGATGGAGTTTTCTTTCAGCTCCGCAATATATCAGTCCTGGTGTTGGAAATTTGGGAAGGATTTCAATTAGAGACAATGAAGCAGTCAATCAAAACAATAATAATAATGCCAATTGTTCCTGAAGATTTAACAGTAGATTAAGAATTTCGAGCCTGATCTACTGCTCTGTTGGAGACAGCTGTTCATAAATGACCCTTTAGTTAAGATTCTTTACAGGGAAGCACCAGGAAAGTGAGAAACTGCCTACTGAAGCTTTTCATGCTGATCTCATTTTTGTCTTTGAAAATTAAAATATTCACGAGCGCTGAAAGCTGATATTTATGAGAAGAATTGGGGTAGGGGAAAGAATGAATTGCATAAGCAACTCCTAGTCCATCATCAGCATCTCCAGCTGTACTGCAACAGCCTCATGGAGATTCAGTGTTCTGATTTTTTAGAAGTAATCATCTCCATGTATTTCTGTTCATTTTAGGGTGCGTTCTTGCATTTCACATTGTTTCCAATATTTTATATGGAAAAATGAGGAAAGTTTTTATAAGTAGCCTTTAAACCATTCAGTGACAGGAAGTTCTGTTGAACTTGAGAGAGCATCACTTTTTTAGATCCTTTCCGAATTATACACATGTTCAGTTCTGCCTTCAGAGCTGTAAATCCCAATCTGTGTTACAGAGTTCAATGGATGAAGATATGTGCCAATTACAAAGAGAAACAAAGAGCAAAGGTGCAATCAAGGATCTGAGCTATGCAATGCAATAGAAGGAAAACTGCACTGCACAGTATGTAAAATCCCAGCTCTTATTTGGAACACTGGCAGCAGCTGAACTTGAACATCAGCACCTTTAATTTAAGGACACGGAGGCTCAGTGAGCCTCAAACGCCACAGCAACTAGGGACTTCTAAAGAAAATTCTTCTGTAGTAAATCACTGTTCAAATAACTCAAATTTTGATGTGAAGGAATACTTTAAAGCCTCCATTTCATGTCTTGCAATCCTGCCTAAATATTTTCTCCTCTTCCTTGATTTCTTGCTAGTTTTCTGGACAAGATGCCCTTGCTAAGCTCCAGCAAGTTGAGTGTGGAGAGCAGAAAAGAAGATGGTGAAGGCACAGCACCTGCCCCTCCACAGAAGAAGCTGTCATGTCAGTGCCATCACCATTGTCCTGAGGACTCAGTCAACAGCACCTGCAGGTTCGTGGAGCATCTATCTGGTGGTAAAACATGAGAAAACCTGTTTGTGATGTCTCTGCAGTCTCAAGTTGGGTGTTCTTGTTTGAGCAGTAATTGGTAAAGGAGTTGTTTAGAAATTAGCTGGTTTTTTTTATACAGATGTCAGCTACACATCTATATTTTCTTTTCATAGTATTTACATCTTTCAAGCTTTAGATAAATACTTGTGTTAATTCTTTTTATATATGATATATTCTGAATGTAGTAGTTTGTTTTTAAAGGGTGCATGCGATTGATGAGAGGAGACTTATTGGAAATATTTTGAAGTGTCTATAAATGCTCATAAATTTATAATCAATCTTCATAAATTTCATTTATCATAAAAAACCTACTCTTTTGTATGTGTTTTTACGGAAGTGTTTTGTAGGTTGATAAGACAATTTGTTTCATGGTAGAAGTCTTTTCTTCTCTTGAGATGAAGTGTTAAATACTTTTTTAATGTTAACTGTACTCCCACAGTCTTTCTGCAGGCACTGGTTAGAGTACTTATTAATAGAGTAAACTTATTTGGGTTGGATTCTGCTTTTCCCAGAGGTCCTAACTCCCTAAGATGGACATATGCTGTGCCTTGGAGGCTCGGCATTGACACTGTCTGATACAGCAGAGTGGACCAGTGGCACCTGCAGTGGAAGCACACTGCTCTTCCCCCACTGACTTTTCACTCCTGCAGCAAACACATGAACTATTGCTGCTGAATTAGGGTGCTGATCTGACACCCCTCTTGGCTTGAGATGAATGCACAGTTTGTCTTTGCAGTCATGGAGGGGTGAACTCTTCATCTGCTTCACATAAATATCAACTTCTTTATTCTGCTTCCTTAAAACCAAGTAAAATACTGGAGATACTGCCTGCACTGGTTTAGTGGAGTTGTGCAACTGCAGGAAGCATCAAAGCAGGACACAAATATGAGCTCGCCTGGATGAGCCAGTGGTGTATGCAGTTATTTTTCAGGTGAAACCGTCTAACATTGTGTCAGTGCTGACTAGATCTTCCAGGCAGCATGTTAGGAAGATAGACAAGGAAAAACCCAATGTTGTTGAAGACAAATTGCTATTTCTTGGGATTTATGAGTGTTGTTCTGTAGCTTGACTTGGTTCAGCTCAGCCTGCAGTTTCACACAGAGGTGTATGGCAGTTGTTGATGACAGCTGTAAATACTACTTCCCCCTTTCAACCTTCTTTCTTCAAACCCATATATAGCTAGAAGTCAGACCTAACTGCTCTCAAATGGCAGTCCATTTAAAAAAAGCTATAAAAATTCCCTCTGAGATCAGTTTGCAGATCTCCTGCAGTATGAATCAGTTTTCCTGTTCCTGCCCAGCAAGAGCCACTGCTTTCACATATGCTGCCTTGCCTGCATCAACAGGAAAGATGCAGAAGACTTGAATCCATTAATTATGAAGCATAAGAGGACTCATGTTAAGGAATTGATTCATTGAAAGATTTATACACTACTTTGGGTGCACTGTTGCATGTTTTATCCACTCTTTCCCATCCTGTGCTGTTACCTGAGCACTATCCAACTTGCCCAATGAACAACAATATAATTGCTGAAGAGTTTAGACAAATTTAAAATTAAAAATTTAGATTATTTGAAATTAAATACCTTACCTTTGTGGTTTACCAGCAATAATCCTTTTCAGGATAGTGATCGTGGCCGTAGCTCCCCTTACCTTGATATGAGAGCTGCAGTGAGGTCAAAGTCAAAGGACAACAAAGCATACAACATGCCTTGTCTTCTCTGCACCTGCTTAACTGTGTCAGTCTTTTGCTTCTTAAATTCCTTATGCTTAGCTGGAATTAAGGATGAAAAGTGAAAAGGGACCTTACAGTGACAAGGAAGTTCTAAGCCTAACATTCCAGTATCTGGCTTTCAAAAGATTTGGCCAAGCCCAGTCAGGTGAGCAGGGATTATGAGTTTCCCCATGCTGTGAGCAGGGATTTTGAGTTTCCCCATGCTTTGAGAGATTTCTACTAGTCAGCCTGTAACTTTCATGCTTCGTGCTATCCTGAATGACTATTGGCACAGTTTGAAAGTGCTCAGGAATTTTCATTTAACTTCACTCTAAAGAAAATTACACCATATTGAAATTCAAATATTATTTATTGTGCTGCGTTTGTCTGAAGAAGAAATAAACTGTTCAGATTAAAAGTTATTGCATTAATTATCCTCTTCCCTCAGATATAGTCACTAAAAGCTTTCAATATTTGATAAGAATTGAACTCTGCTGGCAGCTCTGTCAGTCTGTTAAGATTTGAGCTGTACTGGAGTCTGCAGGGCTCTGAGCTACATTGATTCAGAGCATCGTGCACTGTTCCCACTGAGGCTTCCACAAGAGCAGAGGAGCTTTTTGTGTGCCCAGGAGCAAGGAGTGCTCCCATAGTTCAATGGAGAAGCAATTCCAGCTGTGGCTAAATTAGAAGCCCTGGAATAAAAGAGGCAGTTCCACCACAGTCTCTAATAGAAATCTCTTATAAATAGCAGTCTGCCATCCCTGCTGAAGTTTTTGGTCTGCTACCACAAATATTTATGTATCAGGACACACATACTGAGCAGATAAGTAGTACCCTGAATGTTTATGAAAAAATGAGGACATCTGGTGGCCATTTAAAGTTCTTTCTGTAATTGTATTTTTTTTTTCAATTTGAAATAAATATTCTTAAGCCACATCTGTGTCAAATCTTTGATCAGCCTTCTGTGTTTCTATACAGAACTACCCTTTCTCTGTATTTTTTCAACTTATGTGCAATAGTTCTTTAGGAAACTATCAATGATACCACAGCTGCAAATGCATGTTATTTTATCATAAACAAATCAGTAGCTCTAGCTTGAAGAGCATTCTTTAAAATGGATCAATCCATGAGCACATAAGTTTTGAAAGATTCATTAGAGGGACATTTCATCAAGAGTCAGTGATGGGGAGCAATGAAAGGACAGTGCTACGTGTAGTAGACCAAGTGAGGAGCAGAGGGTGATACAGGCGCTAGCTGTTGCCTTACCCACTAACACCCTGTTCCCCTCACAGTACCTAAACACACCTGGCAGATCTAGATCTATTGATAGCTGTGCCAAGGGGCCTGCTAGTTCTAGGCTGGAGCAGCAGCAGGAGAGGGAACTAGAGATAGGCACTCGCTCACCATAGATTGGAAGGGATGTAGTGCTTAAACCTGAGGTCAAGCAGAGCTCCTGGGCAGAACGTGTGGTTGGGTGGTGTGAGGATACCACTCGGGGTAATTAAAACTCATTAGTGCACTTGAGGCCCTAATGATTAAGGTCTTTGTAAAAGTTTCATGGTTCTTTGCTTGTAAAGGGTGTGCTAGCCTGTGGTGTGTTGGAACTTCATTCTTTTGAACATCTGTGCAGTTCATAAAAGGCTTTCAATAAAGAAGCTCAGTGCTGCTTTGAAACAACCAGGACCTCCTTTTACTGTTTCATTTTATGTTTTGTACGGGCAAAATGAGTGTGTGGGCAGTTGTGTCTAGTCAAAATTAGTTGCATATTTTTAAAAGTACTGTTAGATTTAATTGGCTATCAGTGTAATGGGATTGCAATAAAGGCAGAGCTGATTAGGTTCCTGGTTGTTTTCTCTTTACATTCATAAATAAATGCTGACAGTTTTAGGGATCAGGGTGATAGAATTTAATTTCTTATGGTTTCTGCCCAACTGTGTCTTAAGGTAACATTGGTTATCTAATGCAATAAAATAATTAAGTTGCTTTCTCAGCATTACCAGAGGTGATAATTCACCTGACCTGATTTTCTTTTCATTTTCATGTTCTCTGGATAATGGGATTGAATTTTCTATGTAATTTGATATGTAGAGGATTTAACAGTGGGCCAAAGCACTGAGTTCAAGCATACTTTCTTTTAGTCACTTTCAATTTTTAGTGTAAAATTGAACACTTCCTAATGAGGGAGCTATGATGAGATGTTGCATGGTAGCTTATCTTTATTTTTTAATGTGAGCCTTTATATGGGGCTGCACGGGAGGCAAATAAATCTGTTTTGATCAGTAAAATCAAAAGCGAACAACCCTTGCAAGCTCCACTCTTTTCTTCTTTTCCCTTTCAGCCTTTTGTCCCATACATGGCTTAGCAGATGACTTCTCCCTGAGTGCTCAAACCAAGGTCCAGATCTCCATCCCACCCTTTTGAACCATGCTTCAGAAATGTCCTTTCTTAGTTTTGCTTAGAGGCTGCATGTAGCATATATTTTAATATATACCTTATGCTAAACAGTAATGCGGGTCCAATTTCTCTGTACAGAGACCTGTTGCATTACTTTCAGATAGCTTTTTTTAGCATGTGGGAATACTTTGGTGTTATTGTGTTGAAGTACTTAAGATTTCCCTTGCATATTGAATTTACTTAAACCAAGAAAACATTCAAAAATAGCAAGTATCCATGTTGAAGCTGCCCTACCACTAAAAAGGAGAGTACATCATACAGATTCAACTGTACTGTAGTCTTAAAGCCAGGTAAAAGAAATTATTTGGCAGTGTTTAAATTTTTTTACACAAAAGAAAGAAAAGGAAAAAATAAAGGGAAAGGGAATAGAGAACAGTCTATAGCTTTATGTTGATAGTTTCCTTCTTCACAGTTCTCACATTTACTGAAATGGATTTTGTACGTAAGTGAACGGTACTGGAGAGAGCTGGTGAATGTGCAGAGAGGTACCCATGCTTGGTGTGACTGTCATACCCAAGGTTATGCTACTAGATCTGTAAGCTTATCAAATCTCATATAATTATCACATAGCCTGGATAGTCTGGCATTGTGTCTTGAATTCTGCATTGTGACCCACGTATCAGGGAAAACTGTGGTTGATTTGTGATGAGAGCAATGTGCGACACATCTAATAGGCTGAGTCATGTCTGGGAAGATCATATGGAGATAATATTGACAGATAGACCTATATGGGAAATAGGATATATGGGAAGATATTCTGCTAAGATATGTTGGGTATCTTCCCCTCCATGCTCTGTGTGTAATGTAGTAGAGTTGTCACTGAACACCCTGATGACCTTACTCTGATCTTACTCTCTTCATCATCGTATTGGTTTCAGCATGATGCCAAACGGTACGACATACAGTAGAACGTGGTTGGACAAGCATCACTATCTCAAATACTAGTCGGGCCTGGAACTTTGTCCTCCTGTGGGCCATCTCCTATGCTTTGTCACGTCTGTGTGTCTCTGATTGCCTTTGGGGTAGCTGTGCAAATGTGAAGGTGCATCTGGCTCAACAATTTTGTAATGCTCTCCTTCCCACATGGTTTCACGTTACTTCCCTGATGCACAGCCACTGTTATTTCTTCTGGAACATTAGCCTGTACTGAGCACATTTACAGGGGGGCTCTTTGTTTTAGGGATGATATCCAAAGACACTGTTTTGCTGAATTTAGCCTTCAGCATCCTCCTTAAGTGAATGATATGACAAAATAGGTGAAATAGATGCAAACAGAGTCAGCGAGCCAATTTTTGAATTAGATCATTTCATCCAATCTTTATAGAAGTATACAGGCTTTCAATTTCTGGAGATTGTAAATTCTAACACTTTTTAATCATTTTTAAAAAACAATACAGAAGTTTGCCATGTTCCCGAGGATGAAAATGAAAAGATTGTGTAGTTCTTTCTGATATCAGAACTAGGAGTATAATGGGGATGAGGGGAAAAAAAATATAACACCCATATGGATTCAATTGCAAACGGAATTAAATGTAAGGACTCTTTTCACCAAGTTATTTAACCCATCTGCTTGTCATAGGCACCAAATCACATGAAGGAACGATGTTGCTTTTGCAAGTTATATATTGCCATGCCTGACTGCATATAGAAACCAGGACAGGAAATCTTCAGCAGGCAAGTTTTGGTAGCTAAGGTATTGAATCTTCTGTGTGCGATGGCTGTCGGCCAGTAAGGACATCTGTGTGAGCAGCTGCAGAACTGTTGGCCTCCATTCCTCTCTTCTGACATTTAGTAAAGCTCTTGCTTAAGATCACCTTTTTTGCTCAGGTAATCTGTAATTGTAGCAGCACCTTCTATATCAGTGCCTGCCAGTGTTTCTGTTACAAACTCCCTCTGTTTCCCTGGCATTTGTCTTGGCTGTGAAAGTTCACTCTTGGCAAATGTGTGACATACCAAATCTGTGCTTATTAGCAATCACATTCAACTTGCATTCAATTACTCTCCTGCATCTTACCTTAAGAAGCTGATGCTTTAGTGAAGGAGGTTAGTGGATGTGTATGGGGTTGTATCATTGGGATGAATTCCTTCTTTACACAACAGTCTCAGATTCTCAGAGTCAAATTATGCAGAATTCTAATTGTGCATTTTAAAAAACAAATTGGTTGGAAGCAGAGAATGTGTTTTTAATATTGCTTTGGATATGTCAGCAGTGTGCGTATGTTTCTATTTTGTGCAGTCACCAAACTGAACATCAAATTAGAGATGATACACAGCTAAATTGTTCCTAATTGTTAGAATAAGAAAAGTTTGAGGCAGGTAAGTCAATAAACCAGCAGGGGTATGTTGTGCCTTTTCCTTGCAATGTGCAGTTCATCTGACAGCCTGTGAACCAGGACAAGAACTCAGGGCAGGAGGTTGGGAATGAAAGACTTCGTTCTTTTCAGAAGAGTCACCTCTATCTATCTCTTTCCCAAATCTGCAATAAAACAAAGAATTCTTATATTGTATGAACACTTTTTATTTTTTCTTAGTGTTAGAATCAACTGGAACCAATATTTATTTTGATTGGCATTACTATTTTTAGTTTTCTCATATGTTTCCCTCATTACTCTATTGTTGCCTGTAAAGAACAGGATTTACCCTTATTGTTGGAGCTTTATAACTTTTATGTTTTGCTCTATTTAGTGTAATATTGTTTGTCTTTTTAAATCTGAAGTAAAATGACACAGTGGAAGGAACGGATGCCATTCAGAGGGACTTCAAGATGCTAGAAAGGTGGGCCCGGGTGAAACTGATGAGGTTCAACACAGCGAAGTGCAGAGTTTGGCACTTGGGCCGGAGGAATTCCAGGCATCTGTACAGACTGGAAGGAGCGATCCTTGAGAGCAGCCCTGTGGAGGAGGATCTAGAGGGTCTTAATAGATGAAAAATTTAACATGAGCCAGCAGTGTGACCTTGCGGCTCAGAAGGCAAATGTTATCCTGAGCTCCATCAAAAGAGGGGTGGCCAGCAGGGACAGGGAGGTGATTGTCCCCCTCTACTCTGTTCTTGTGAGGCCCCATCTGGAATACTGTTCAAGTGTGGAGCCCCTAGTACAAAAAAGACAGGGAGCTGTTGGAGAGGGTCCAGAGGAGGACCACTAGGATGATCAGGGGACTGGAGCACCTCCCCTATGAGGACAGGCTGAGGGAGCTGGACTTGTTCAGCCTGGAGAAAAGAAGGCTGCAGGGTGACCTCATTGCAGCCTTTCAGTACCTAAAGGGAGCCTACAAACAGTACGGGAGTCAACTCTTTGAAAGGGTAGATAACTGCAGAACAAGGGGAAATGGTTTTAAGTTGAGGGAGGGAAGATTTAGGTTGGATGTCAGGGGGAAGTTCTTTACAGAGAGAGTGGTGAGGTATTGGAACGGCTGCCCAGAGAGGTTGTGGATGCCCCGTTCCTGGAGATGTTCAAGGCCAGGATGGGCCCCAAGGCAGCCTGGTCTAGTATTAAACGTGGAGGTTGGTGGCCCTGCATGTGGCAGGGGGGTTGGAGACTCATGATCCTTGAGGTCCCTTCCAACCCTGGCCATTCTGTGATTCTGTGAAAATTTTCAGAGGGACTGAAGTGCTTGAGGACCCCAAATTCAATTTTCTAAAATGAGCAAAGTATCAGAGTCCCACGACAAGTCAGAAGAAATGAAATAAAATTGCTGACTTTTCCTGCTTCTTTTTTTTCCTTCTGCAAACAATTTGGCTTTTCCTTCCGCCCCTGTCCTTCGGTGAACAGAGAGTTTTGGTTTTGCTGTGGATTGCTAGCTGAGGAGTTCTTTTTTGTGTTTCACTAGATTGCAATTTATTGTTTTGTTGCTCTGTCCCCTGGGTTACACTTACTCATTACTTTGAATCAAAGGCACCATGCAAACAAATAAAATCTAATCTAATATAATATTCTACTCTAATGGATTCCTTACAGTCTCTCTTCTTGGCAATCCTATCGCTCCTATCTTAAGCTTCGGCAATGAAATCAAGGTGGTTGTTGCCCAGAAGGGCAGCTGTCTCCTTTGCCTTGCTCGTATGCACAGTGTCAGAGGGGAGTAGAACCCCTAGCTCTCTTTTCTCTGAGAAAGCAATTTGTAACATACAATTGGTTACTTTTCAAATCCAGAAGTCAATAACGAGTGATAGATTATTATTTGAAGTAATAAGTTTACAGTGGCTAGACCCTGCACCACTAATATAAAAATATGCTACTGCAAATGTTTGACATGACTCTTTTCTAGCCAGCATCTGTCTGTCCTGTAGCTAATACTTACAAATGTTTGTCTATTCCATGTGTAACAGCACTCTTTGAATCCTACATCTCATTTTCTTTTCTCTTGCTGCTCTGTTAGACTTCCTTTCCTTCCACTGGGAGCAAATCATCTGAAATTTTGTGGTGCTTAAATTTTCTAATCCTTTTTTCTTTTTATTTCCTTGTTTTAACTGAGTTTATTTTCCTCAGAAAAATACTTGCTGAGCGTAATAACCAATGTTAGTTTCCCATGAAAATAAAGGAATATTTTTTGTGAAGTAAATGTATTGGATTAAATAATTCTTTATTTCTTGATCTTTTTCCTCCAAATCAGTCAACCTGTGTTCCTCACTTATGTTACATGCTCGCCAACAGTAATTAGAAATTAATGCATGGCAATCTCAGTAAAATGAAGTCCCCCTTTTGTACCCTTCCCCCCTTTCTGCAGCATGCAGGCATTTGACCTTCATCAAAGAAGGACATTTATCACCAGCACCATCTAGCCATCTGTTATTATGCTTATCTTCCATGGGACACGGTTGTGTAAATGGGAGTGTTTTGGATAATTTCAGGTTTGTAACCCAAGTAAACAGTTATGAAGAGTGTTGATGATAACTCAAGGACTCACACACCAGTGCCACAGTTTGTAATACATCTAAAACAGGAATCACAAATCTCTCTTAATAAGATTTCACAGCAAGGATCTCAAGAATGTTTCTTTTTCCATATTCCCACCATGGTGTGTGTAGCCATGCCTTGTTCCCATGCACAGGGCAGACCTGCTGTAGCATTGCTGTTTGCATTTATGTAGTTTTCCAAAGCCTTCACACGTTAATGGCTGCAGGAATTTACAGAGAATTAAGATGTTAGTGAGCTTTGTAGCTGTGAAATTTTGGATAGGTGAGTATGTCATACTGTCAGCTGTCTTGCGCTGTTACAGCAGATTGCATGTGTGCCTGACTTTTTCCACACGTGCAATAGTGCTTCAGCTCTTTGTGTTTTGTCATGCTGCTGGAGGAAATATGTTGCTTTGCTAATGGAAGATTTTCCTTCCAATGAATAATGCTGAAGACTGTATTTAACACCATGTTTTTCACTTCAGAACCTTGTACTGATTCATTCTTTTCAATCCTCAGCACTGATGGCTACTGCTTCACCATAATAGAAGAAGATGATTCTGGTGGACATTTGGTCACCAAAGGATGTCTAGGATTAGAAGGCTCGGACTTCCAGTGTCGGGTAAGAAAGTGTTGGCTGCCTGAGTATTGCTTGAATTTTGATGGCTTTCAGTTAATTACTTTGCTTTCTCTGAAATTATTCCAGGACACTCCTATTCCACACCAAAGAAGATCTATTGAATGTTGCACAGGCCAAGATTACTGTAACAAATATCTTCACCCGACACTGCCTCCACTGAAAAATCGAGGTAAAGGGAAGTCTATCCAGGCCCAAACTGACCTTTTTCTGCTATTGCCCTTTGTGTCTCAGGAAGAAACAAAGCCATAACCAATGCACCCACATCCAAGTGTACATGATCAGAGAGATGAGTCCTACTAAAAACTGTCTGGATTTATTGAAGTAGAGAGCAGTGTCTTGACCCATGGTTGCAGGTTCCTGCTGTTATTTGTGTTGCTCACGTGCAGTGAGCACCGGATGGATTATTTGCTCGATATTGTCATAGATTTGCTGGCTGTTAGTGGTCATCCCAAAGATTGAAGTTGCATGTGGCAGGGGATGGCTCTTGCTGTGTATAGTTTTTCGTGATAATAAAATTGAATCCTATATCTGTTCATAACAGCACATACATCGGGACCAGATCTCTAGAGGTTAATCTAGCATTTCAAACTGACTGAAATCCATAAAGCGTTTCTTACTTACAGAACCCAGTAATCCACTGAAGTGGATTTTCTGCTTGAAAAATGTAACTCAAAATAGAATGAAAAGTGAAAACTCATACAATTACTATTATTTTGTTGGTGTGTGCTGTTATTAAGAACAAATGGAAGTGTTTTAACTTTTAAGTAGATTCTGAGGCAAGAGTAGGTCAGATTTAGGTGTGTTTGTTTTGTTTAAACATTGCTTTCTGAAAATTGTTGAAACTACTTTGGCTTGATATGGCAGATTCTATTTTTAAAGAATGTGTTCCTGGGATCAGTGTAACATTCTTCCTTCATAAACTCTTGGCATCATCAACAATGGCCAAGATCTGTGGAGGTCAGCATGGAATTTAGTCTGTGAGAGTATGTTCAGGGTTGCAGGAGAATTTGTAATCATGGCATTCTGAGTTGGAAAACCAAACTGACAAACAGCAGCTACTTACACATAAATATATGCTCATAGAAAGTCTTCTCTCATGTAAGATATTCCCTTCACACCTATGAAACTCTGCACAGATGGGTTGCAGCGCCAGGCCTGTGGAGGGTGGTGTGTAAATATTTCACTATTTACTAGCAAGTCATTAAGTTAGTGAAACCTCATAAAATTCCAACTTCTAACATGAGAGTTATGTACTATTTTGTTGTGTATTTTTTTTCATTTTAAAAAGTTATTTGAACTGAGGGAGAAACTCCAAAAGGAAGTCAATATTTGTTCACACTTACTTAGCGTATCAATAAATATCATTACAGTTTGGAAGATTATTTCTTCTCTCTGCTGAGTTAATTCTATGTTAAATCTACTTAAAAGTGCTGAATCAATGCCAAACATTAGGCATCTGCCTTGTTAAGTTTTTGGATATTTGGCTGTACTATCTGCTACTTATACAGAAAACAGTACAACAAGATTTTTATGGTGGCAGAAATTGTTTGGATCAATGTTGACTTTGCTGTGTGTGTACATGGGTTTAAAAAAAAGTATCGCTTGGGCACTTGTGGTGGCAGACCCATTAAACAGCAGATAGATTTTTTTGATGAAAGAATAATGTTATAGAGTTGGAGCAGGACTCTAGCCATTTTATATTGCAAAATGTCTATTTTATACTGACAAACAGAAAACAATGCATCATTCAGTGTATTCTGAGGATTTTTGTTCTAACTAAGTTTGTGCACTGCCAGTGTCCTGACAGTGTATTCCAGAAGCTGTTTCTTTCCATGTGGCTGAGCAGGGCTGAAGCCAGCACCTTTATTAAAGCCTTAAGCACATATGTCATTCCTGGTGCCAGACCTGTTCTTATGTGCCATGGCTGTATGCTAGTTTAAGAGCTCGGAACAAAGCCTGGACTTAGGGGATTCTCCGTGCAGCTGTGTACAAATACTGAGTGCCCACTATTGCCAGTGTTCAGTACTGTGCATTGTGATCATTGTGTCTGTTGGAAACTTTTAGACTTGGTTATGTGAATGAGAGCTGTGAGACTTGTACATTACATTTCTCATAAGCTGGAAGTATGACAAAAGGAAGATTAACCTAAAAACAAGCTTCTAGGAAGCTTCCTGACCTCCAGGATTCCACGAAAAATATGTGTGCTACTTGGCATTTAAAAAACAAACAGAAATTTGGCTTCTGAACTTACATCCAAGGTCATATCTCATGGGAAACAGAGCCTAGGGAGGTTGTCCAGCTGCAGGTCAGAGGTTGTTGAACTGCAAATTAACCCGCACACCAAGGTAACATCTCTAGAGAGGCAAGCGGCTTGTGTCCTGAAAGTGTTTTTCCAGACCTGGCATGTGCTGAAGGACAGTTTTACCCTCTCCTTGTGAGAAGATAGGAGAGCCGTGCACATGAGGGTGGAGCTCAAAGAGTTAGCATTGGACAAAGCAGGGTTTTCTTGAACAAGATGTAAGAAAGTAAGAGCCAAGCTTAAGTTTTGAGCTCATCTTGTTACAAACCTGGCAAGTTAAAATAGCCAGATGATACCACAAAATCCTTGTACCACCTATGTATTTTATCTTACTGAGGAAATGAAAATCATAACTGGGTTTGAAACAACACCTCTGCTTTAAACAATAAAAGATATTCCTGGAAATCCCTGTGAAAGTGCAGACTGAGATCAGTCGAAAGGAGAAATATATCTTTACTGATTTAAAGCTTGTATAAGCAGAAGTGGTGGTGCCACCGTGTCTGGCTCCCTGCCTGTAGAGCTAGTGATGAATGGGCAAGGGAACGATTGGAGGAACGATGGGGTTTGATGCGTGCACACAGTCTCCACGCCTCGGATTTCACTGCCATTTTTACTTGGATAATCTTAACATTGTGAACTGGATAAAACGGGGAGGGAGGAGACCCTTTGACACCCTGACTTCTCCCTTCAACCTGCTGTGTGGCATTTGCAGTGCACTCATCAGCGTGACGCTGCACATGGCAAAGTGGGGTGAATGGGAGGGGGAGAAGGGAGAAAGCACAGAAGAGTAACTGAGAGGCAGGCTGGTGTAACGAGATCCTGCTTTTGTTGCCGCTTCTCCCTTTCTGTGCTGACCATATCTGACACCTGCACACATCCATGTTTTCTTACAACCTAAAATTGTTTGTAAACATGCTGTGTGCTAGTCTTTGGTATTATGTGTGAGCCAAGGTACCTGAGGAAGCCTCCTAAACTTCCTATCTGTTTGTTTTGTGTTCCCCTCATTGAGCTCACAGTCATAGCTCACTGCTGCCTCCTTGGAAGCTGCTGGTTATTCTCATAACCTCACTGCTTAGCATGTTGCAGTTGCCAAGGAACAAGCAGTAAGCAGCACAGCACCAGTCTTAAAGAGCACTTTTATCCTTCTGCATTGTGGGGAGCATCCTCATCTGAAGAAGGAGGGAGGTGTGAGTCTCCAGCAGCACTAGCCTGCCTCAGTTCAGCAGCCTCCTGTACCTATAACTCTAGCAGACAGCTCACATGGGAAGCTTGAGTGAAACACTGTGTTCACCATGTTGAGGGCGATGGATGTCATCTACCTGGACTTCGCAAGGCCTTTGACATGGTCCCTCTCCACATCTGTCTCTCTAAATTGGAGAGGTGCGGATTTGAAGGATGGACTGTTTGATGGATTAGGAATTGACTGGCTGGACAGCCAAAGGGTTGTGATCACTGATTCAGTGTTCCTTCTCAAGGGTCGATCTTGGGGCGGGTGTTCTTCAGCATCTTCATTAATGACATAGAAGATGGCATCGAATGCACCCCCACCAAGTTTGTGGATGACACCAACCTGAGCGGTGCAGTTGATATATTGGAAGGAAGGGAAGCCATCCAGAGGGACCTGGACAGGCTGGAGAAGTGAGCCTATGAAAATCTAATGAGGTTCAATAAAGCCAAGTGCAGAGTGCTGCACTTGGGTTGGGGCAATCCCAGGTATTTATAGAAACTGGGGGAAGATCTCCTGGAGAACAGTCCTGCAGAGGGCTTGGGGATCCTGGTAGATGAGAAGCTGGACATGAGCCAGCAGTGTGCTCATGCAGCCCAGAAGGCTGTGTTTTGGGCTGCATTAAAATGATGTGGCCAGCAGGGAGATGGAGGTGATTGTCCCCCTCTATCTGGCTCTGGTGAGACCCCATCTGGAGTACTGCATCCAGGCCTGGGGCCCTCACTACAGGAAGGATGTGGAGCTTTTGGAGTGGGTCCATAGGAGGGCCACTAAGATGATCAGAGGGCTGCAGTCTTTCTATGAAGAAAGATTGAGGGAACAGGGCTTGTTTAACTTGGGAAAGAGAAGGCTCTGGGGAAACTTTAAGGTTTAAGGTTTAAGGCCAGGTTGGACGGGGTCCTGGGCAACCTGATCTGAATGTGTGTGTTTGGTGGCCCTGCTAGGCAGGGGGGTTGGAACTACATGATCCTTGAGGTCCCTTCCAACCCGGGTGATTCTGTGATTCTGTGTGATTGTGTGAAACTTCATTGTGGCCTTCCAGTACTTGAAAGGAGCATATAAACAGGAGGGGGAATGGCTGTTTACGAGAGTGGATAGTGATAGGACAAGGGGGAATGGTTTTAAACTGAGACAGGGCAGATTTAGGTTAGATATTAGGAGGAAGTTCTTCACACAGAAAATTGTGATGCACTGGAGCAGGTTGCCCAAGGAGATTGTGGATGCTCCATCCCTGGAGGCATTCAAGGCCAGGTTGGATGTGGTTCTGGGCAGCCTGGTCTGGTGGTTGGTGACCCTGTATGCAGCAGGGGGGTTGAAACTGGATGATCACTGTGGTTTCCTTTTCAACCCAGGCCATTCTATGATTCAATGACAAACAGAGATTACACATGGAAGAAGAGAGGCAGTTTTTTTTATATTTTGTTGTCCATGTACCAAGTGGTTTATGAAATCTTCAAGCGCGCAAGCAGAGCAAGCAGAATTTTGCCAATAGGAAGTGTTTGAAAGACAAAACAATGTCCGATTTAGCATTTCTGTAGCCTCTCTTCCTATGTGGCCAAATAAATATGGAGACATATGGAAGTCATTCTCCTTTTCTATGAGATCTGGTTGCATGCCCACTGTGATATGCGCAGGGAGCTGTCACCTACTGCCACACTGACACATCCCTTCGTGTCTTGCATGCTTTCCTTGTACTTACTGAAAAATTCTGAAAAAGTCTCAAGGTTGTGTTAAAGCTGAGCAACACTTCCAGGATGCCTTGAGGAAAATACAGGCATGTTTGTTCAATTGTCTGAATGGGAGAAGCCCATTAGCAATGTTGGGCTCGGTGTTTGAATCATTTAAAATGATCACAATACAATTAAGATCTGTCATTTTATCATCCTTCTCCCAGATGTACATAATCAAATCCACATAGTGTAAATGATACTGGCACATCTCAAGTTCTTGTAGTGCAAGACTAGTACTACACACTTCTGTGCAGGTCACTATTTATCCTCTCCTCAGCTGATGCACTGCAACATCTTCAACTATTACAAACCACATATTTTAGAAGGAAGTGGTTGGCAGACCCAGACTGCCTATGGAGCATGAAATAGAGTCTTCGTACCTCCTCAGCAGCCCTCATCGTCACAGGAGAGAACTGGGTTCCCCCAGTGGGCTCTCATTTTCAGCTCCAGGCCAGGTAAAAATCTGCCGCTTCAGTGGGATTGATGGGCTCTGGTGTTTTCCTGATAGACATCATGTTAGTGTCCCCTTTCAAAAGCACTGGCTGTAGCTTGAATGTTTACATTGCTAATGCTCCGGGTGCAGGTAATGGCAGGTTAAAACATGACCAGCGTGATCGAAAGGTGCACTGGGAGGTAATCTCTGTTTGTAGTGAAGAAGGAAAGGGAAGGAATCGTTTGGGCACAAAAACAGAGGGATAAATTCGATCTTTAATCTAAAAGAACCTGACAGTAAGCCAAGAGTCCCTTAGGAATCTCTTTGTCTCATTACCCTTGTAAATCTGAAATGTAGTAGCACTATTCCAGAATGAGTCAATGAGGATAGAGTTCTTGCATTTTATGATGTGTTCGGTATTAGTGTGAAAGATGCAAGGTGGCAGGGCTGGGAAAGCTTCAGGAGCTGTTATCCTCATTTGCTGTAGTCTAGATAGCAACTTCAGGAGGATGGTTTGTGTGTGTACATGCTGATGTGTAATTTTGAGACTGGGATGTTTAAAGGAAAAGCAGTGCCAAATATCTTTGGTTTACAGCAGGGAAGCATGGATGAAGGTCAGTATCACTTACCTGAGTCAAGAATACAAATTTAGGGATTAGCGATGCACTTTAAAGCACAATATTAGTCTTCCATTCAAAGACAGACTGAAATATCTTAGTAGTTTTCATGCTGTGGTGTTTCCTCGAGTTATTTGACATGGTTCATCTTCAAAGTGTTTTACAGAATAAATGCTGCAAGGATGGTTTCACCCCTCAGCATGGCTTTTTCTGGCACGTAGGTCTGCTATGGAATGAATGAGGAAAAAAGTGCCCACTTAAATGTTAAAACAGGATCAGAGAGGTGGAGTATTCTTCAGTGCTGGAAATATGCCTACAAAGTCTTCAGCGGTTTGCCTTCTCAGGGGTTGGGTGGTCTCCTCTGTTTCCCTACTAGGATAAACACAATTATTTATTTGTTATGTTAACTGTTCAATCAGATGCCAGTGGTTTAAGATATGGATTTAAGATCTTTGCATGTCCTCGCTGATCACATACGTTAAGACACAAAACAATGAGTCCTGGTTTGATTTTTCTAATTGATTTCATTCAGAGTCAAACTGGGACTTGCAAATCCATGCTTTGACAGAGTAGGTATACATCAGCACATGGACTCCTGTGGGCTGCCCTGCTGGGTGAGGCACAATGAGGACATGCACAAAACACCAGTAAAACCCGGAGGCATTGTGTACAGAGTTGTAGTAAAATCACAGAATTAGAACCACAGAATTATTTGGATTGGAAGAGGCCTTAAAGACCATCTATCTCCAACCCCCCTGCCATGGGCAGGGACAGACCTGTTCTAGCCTGGCTTTGAACACCTCCAAGGATGGGGCATCCACAGCTTCAACAACCTTATGCTTGGTGTGCATTTTTTCACACTGACTTTGTACCATCTCCCTTTCCAAATTTTCTCACTTTTTTCCTCCTGCTGCTCTGTTTTATCTCCAGATTTTGCTGAAGGAAACATTCACCATAAGGCCCTGCTGATCTCAGTGACTGTCTGTAGTATACTTCTGGTGCTTATCATCATATTCTGCTACTTCAGGTAAATAAGGAACATTTTATCACCTCATTAGCATTCTTCCCAACTTCTGTTTTTTTGTGGACTCAAAATTTTGAAAATTTAAGATTGGCCTCCTGGGAAAAAAAAAAAGAAAAATGATGTAATTTTATCATGTGAAAAGAATCTGTACTTTGTTCATGTTATTCACAGGCATACCTCAGTGTTGTATTCCATGTATAATCTTTCACCCAGGATCATAAGAAGCCTTCCAGTTTGAAGCACAGACTGCTCTTTAGTGAAGCTGAGAATGCCACAGTACAAAGTTTATACAGAACAAAAAACCTGAGGTTTCTCAGTGAGTTTATGTGGTGAGGATCTTAAAAAAGAGGAGAATACTGGAATGTTAAGCGTGTCTAGAATATCATCATAATCTACATACGTTTAAATAATTCTTTGTGTTTTTTAAATACTCCCAGGCCCCACGATTGTTCTTCCTTTTACTTTTAAAAGACCCACTGCAGTTGGTAAATAAAATTTCGCATTTATTTTGTCTGTGCTTTAAAGTTCTGAAAGAAAAGCATCTCTTAGCTTTGCAAGCTCATAGCACGCTGCACAGTCTTTGAGTTTTATTACATAGAGGTTTGATGCTGAAAACGGTTTGTTAGAAATGAAACTGAAAATATTGGTCAGAGAAGCTGAGGAAGCCGTGTGTCTATATATGACATACGTGTGGAGGATAAGGTTCTTTACCCTTTGTACCCATGCTCATTATGTTAGAAGCTAACTTTGGTGTACAAATGGCAGGTATAAGCGGCAAGAGGCCAGGCCCCGCTACAGCATTGGACTGGAGCAGGATGAGACCTACATTCCCCCTGGAGAGTCCCTGAAGGATCTGATTGAGCAGTCCCAGAGCTCCGGTAGCGGCTCCGGGCTCCCTCTCCTGGTAAGGAAGCAGCACTATCTGAATGTCAGTTCACAGGGAAAAAGGAGTGGAGAAAACAAAATGATGCGCAAGAAATGTATTTTTTTTTAATGTTTGAAAGGAGGCTCTGTGTCTTTAAGGTTTGTCTTTCATTTATTTTTATATTTTATTTTCTCCTAGAATTGACAAGGATTTAAGCTGACGAACAACTGCGTTAGAATCAGGAGAATTTTTTTTTCTCCTCATGTATGCTCAGCCAAAAATACTACTTGTTCTGTTTTGTTTTCTTTTTAATTCCTCTCTTAACTTAGAATACCACAGAGTAAATAGAGACCAATAGAGACCACAGAAATTTATCAGGATTTACCCCAGTGCAAATGACAGCATTTAGCCTGCAGTCTTATTTTCTCACTTTTTACGTGCAACACACAATAGCTTTTCCAACACTGACATGTAGGCTTTATGTGAAAGAAATTGCAATTCATTGAATGTGGAACCTTTTTATGTGCAGACTTCACTTTGCATTCAGAAGTCAAGAATGAATTATTTTACCTTGTACTGAGGTAATCTCAAAGGTTAAAGGCATGGGGATGGAGTGAGCTTCACCATTATTTCTGAACTGACTGCAGGATGGCTGAACCCCCTCAGCTCACATGCCAAAAAGGCAATGGATTTACTTTCTGTAGGAAAACAATTCTGTTCAGCAGTTTGTTTTCTCAAGGGCTATTGTTGCTTTTTAGCACTGAAAGAACGGCACAAATTAGATTTCAGTTTCTTTTTTTCAGAAATTGTATGTCTCTATACTCTTCCAAACTGATTAGTTTGTAGTGGTCCTATTACTGGTGATGTTGCCCAATTTCCAAGTACTGTCTATTGTTTTTTTTGCCCTCACATCTTGTTTTCTAAACCTAAAAGAGAAAAATAAATGGAAAACTTTATTTCCTTGAAATGAGGCAACAGATTGAATGGCTGGCTAAAAGTGGAGTCAGTTTGGCCTCAGTTTGGTTGTGGATGCCCTGTCTCTGGAGGTGTTCAAAGCCAGGTTGTAGGGGACCCTGAACAGCCTGGTCTAGTATTAAATATCGAGGTTGATGGCCGTGACAAGAAAGCTGGAAAAAAAACATGACAACATGACAAAAGTTTGTGCTTTATACTTTCTTCCATCTCGGTGAGCCTCAGCTGGTTGAAGGTGGGATCTGTGGTCTTACTGCTGTCTCTAGCTCTCTCTTTGCCTATGAAAACATGCATTTTTCTTTGACTTTTCCTTTAAATAGTCATTTTCTTTGGAAGAGAAGAAAAATGAGAGCTACAGTGAAACTTGCCCATAATAATAAATGTTTGTTGTGCTTCTCAGACAGCTACAACCACTACATGCTCACTGGAAGTACACAGCTTAGTACCTCTGGGCCCATGCCTGAAAGAAACATATAGGAAGCACCTAGCAATAATGCTGTAGACTATATTGCGGAAGAATTTGTTTTCAACTGCTTTATTTTTTATTCAAGGAATGAAACTTCCAAAGCTATTATTTCAGGAACATAACCCACACATTTATTTCAAAATGTAAGTTTATGATAAATAGTATTGTCTTCCTCCTATGCAGAAAATTTATCCCAATGAGTACAGGTATTACACCAAGAATAAGCATTAACCAAGATTTTATCTAGATTTTGACATTCAGCAAACGTTCTTTTTGTGGGCTGTTTGACAGAAAAGTTTGCTGCAGGTCAAATGCTGCCAATCAAGTTTTAAACAAAAAAAAAAAAATATGGCAAATTGTAACTAAAAAGCTTTGAGCCAATAAGCTCAGGTACAATCAAGTCTGCATGAGCAAGCAGAACCCCACTGCCCAACACAAGATGTTTATGCAAAGCTAATGCCTCAGTGTACCCATGTTCAAAATCAGGGAAGGAGGTAAAATGCTGAATACATAAATGAGAGAGAAATCAGAGTTCCTTCTCTGCCTTTTCGTGTATGTTTTTTTTCTAATTTCTCTTCCAATGAATTTTGCTTTTCAATAGACTGCACCCCAGCCTTAGGAATAAGCCCTCTGTTCAAAATGTTGAAATTACAAAAAATTTGCTTGTCTGAATTTTAGTTTGCATTAGATGGAGACATTTAACTGAAGATCAGAAAAGCAGAATGCAGGTGTTAGAAATAGTTGGCAGTTGGATTGATTGCAGTCAAAGAAAGGAAACAATGGGACATGGGGGACCTGGTTGGTCACACAGCTCAAGTAGCAAAACAAAATCTAGAAATAAGTAAAGAAAATCACTAAACAATTAGCATGGATACATCATTCAGCGTACTTACAGAATTAGTTCATCTAGCATTTTTGATTAACTGCTTTGTTCTAAAAATTATAATCAGATTCAAGAAAGGGCTAAATTCCTTAAAATAATATAAATTGTTCACTGTAAATCATCTGACTAGTTCTAGCAAAAGCAAACCAAGTTAAGGCCCTCACATAGTATTCTGCCGCCTGAAAACCCATAACAGAGATGTGTTTTTCGTTTTCTTAATGTAATATAATAAGGAACTTTTCATCATTAAGTATTGTAATTTCATGTACTTTATGATGCCATTACATATATTTACACAAATTGAGTTATTTGGTATAACAGCATTATTGTTCAGGATGCATTTTTAAAATGGGCGGAATAGAAAGCAACAATGCTAAAATGACATTACAAAATGTTAAAGCAAAATTCCAATGTAATGTAACTATTGTTCAATCACTATATAGCAGTATAAAGGAGAATGAATCAATTTTAAAAATTCAGTCTGATCTGTTTTTGGCTATCACTGATGTTAATAAAAAAGAATGGCATTGCAGCCATCTTGGAACCCTAGTTACACGTTGCAGGGCTGAAAAAATGGGATTGTATGTAAATTGAAACAGAAGAAAGCTGGAACTTTTGAAATAGCTTTGCATAAATGTCATTCTTTGAATTTTTCTTCTTTGAATTCTCCAACATGAAAAACAGTAATTTATTTACGAAACAAATGGCTGTAGACCTTACTTACTAGCTTTTGAAATTCATCTCATGACATGCAGTCATACTTCAGAAGGATTGTGGCAGTCCTGCTCTGCATTACCAGATTGACAGTTTCAATGGTCATTCCAGGGATAGCAAAGGAAGCATGATTTTAAAATCAGAGTTTGATCATTTTTGTTAGCCAGGGTTGCAGAAATTCTTAAGATTATGATTTCATAGAGATTCAGACTTGTTGCATTAAGCTGCTCAGGAATTGTCTGGGTGGCGGCAAAACCTAGAGACCTCAACATGACTCTTATCCAGATTTTACCCATAGTGTGGGCCAGATGAAAAGCCCTAGAATAAAATGAAATTGCAAAATCTTGTAAAATCCTACAAAACCAAAAATTGTTAGTAGTGGTGACATCTTAATGTCCTGTTACATTAAGGAGAGGCTGAGTCAACCATGAACACCAGTGGGTCGTGTTGCAACATCTATTTAAGTTTTCTTCTATGAGCTTGCAGAAATACATCATCTTCAGACATGCTGCAATTCTATGTTATTTTCAATTTGTCCAAGACTTTTTGTCATCATAAATGTTCATTAAATGTAGAATCAGCCCATCTACTACGCATAGTCTGTCAATATGTGATGTATACCTCTACAAAGCTGCTAAATAAATGCATTGACCTTCTGCTAGAGCTGGACAAATGCTTTCATCTTTACATCAGTTCCCAGTAAAATGAATGCAGGCACTTGGGTTGTAACTGGGTAAGTAATGGTTAAGGCTCCAAATAACAAATTAATATTTTGAAATTATTAGTCATAGGGTTTTCAAGGAAGGTCATAGGAAGCTGTTCACAGTAATTTCAGTGATCTTGAGTCTGTCTCAAAGGTGTTGAGTAGGTAAGCCTTTGGAAATGAGATAGGAAGGCTTCTTCTCAGGGACAGGAATGGCCTCACTAGTGCTGTTTCTTGGGGAGAGATAAGGAGCATCCATATGGCAAAATTTTGTTGAAATCTGTTTTGCAACTGCTGCGTATTCTGCTGTTCAGAGAAAAAACGAAGGACTGAGATGAAGGCAGAAAATTTCTGCAGAACACGTTCTCATTGCGAGTCTTGGCATTTTACAGGTTCAGAGGACCATAGCAAAACAGATTCAGATGGTAAAACAGATTGGAAAAGGTCGCTATGGGGAAGTCTGGATGGGAAAGTGGCGTGGCGAAAAGGTAGCTGTCAAAGTGTTTTTTACCACAGAAGAGGCCAGCTGGTTCAGAGAAACAGAAATCTACCAAACTGTCCTGATGAGGCATGAAAATATTCTCGGTGAGTGAAATTAAAGATCATCATTTGATAGTGATGGCTTTCTTAAATTTAATTACTTTATATTTGTCATTGTCTGATGCCCTTTCTTATGTGCTTTGTTACCTGCTGTGCTCTGCAGTTAGTCACCCTGCACTTTTGAAAAGAAAAAAGCTTGAAGTATTACTGTGCAGGTAAAAAATAATATGGGGACATGGCTATTGCTCGAAAAATCAGACATCTGGCTCTGCCACCTGTGTTTGAGTATCTAGGCTTTCTGAAAATGTGTAAAGAGCTAAAGGTGAGGCATAGCTGCATGTATGTAACGTAAAAGAAATTGAGTGTGTTGTTAAAATAAAAACTATGGAAGTGGTTGACAGTTCAGACTCCTGAGCAGTCAAAAATGCCTTGAGAAGAATTAACTTGCTATTGCTTTTTTCAGGATTCATTGCAGCAGACATTAAAGGCACAGGTTCTTGGACCCAACTGTATCTGATCACTGACTATCATGAGAATGGCTCCCTTTATGATTATCTAAAATCAACCACCCTGGACACAAAAGGCATGCTAAAACTGGCTTACTCCTCTGTTAGTGGCTTGTGCCACCTACATACGGAGATCTTCAGTACCCAAGGCAAACCAGCTATTGCCCACCGTGATCTAAAAAGTAAGAACATCCTGGTGAAAAAGAATGGAACCTGCTGTATAGCAGATTTGGGCTTGGCTGTTAAATTTATTAGGTGAGTAGAGCTAAGCAGGGTGAGGGAAAGTTGGGTAAGAGCCACACGCTGGTTGTGTTGTATGCATGAGTTTGCATGTGGGAGCTAGCACCTGTGTCTTGTGTGCATCACTTCCATGCAGTGCTCACCCGTACGTGAGCTGCAGCTGTCTGGGTGAATGTTGCAAAAACACATACCCCAGGTGTAGAAGCAATTGCTTTCCAGTAATTGTGCACATCCATTGCATTTGTGTAAACATTCAGTTTTCATCGCTGAATGCTCACTATCAACCTGCGTATTTTAACTGCCATGTGTTAAAAGGACTTTGCACAGGCAGGTTGAATTCACATCAGCAAACTTGTCACTGAAGCTATCAGCTTGTCTGATAACTAAACAATTCATAGATAACTTATATCGAGAATAATACTAATCATTTGCACATGTTTCTAATTGGGATTTATTGAAAAGCACCCCATTTGGGCTGTGTTGTGTTTCATTTCCAACAAATCAAATTGCTAAAGTACAGATTTGATTTTTGAAATGGCTTTTAAATTTGATTTTTAAAAATGGTTATGTGTTTAAACAACTTAGAAGGAGCAGACAAGTAGGACTTGCTTGCTCCAGGGATTCATAAAGAAGTCATTTCTCTCTGACAGCTGCTTGCTCTGCTCACAAAGAGCCTGAGCTCAGTGCTGGTCCCAATGGAGATGTGTGTTACAAATGCTCTGATTTTTCCAAGCACAGAAATGTGGCCATAGACTGAAGGTTTCCATTTCAGAGGTCAGCTTTGAAACTGCGGGCTCCCTTAAGTATGTATGTATAAAAAAATCTCTACAGATCTTGAAATTATTCAGAATGTAAGAGAAGATGGTTTAATGTGCCCTTCTCACTAGCAACTTATATGCCAGCTTTCTTGATGAAGCTGACATTTCTGTAGGAGATGAGAAATGAACAATTTTACATTGGGGAGCAGGGGCCTGCAAAACAGTAAGTAAGGAAATACCCTGTTCACTGTAAAAGTTTCAGGGAAGAAATTCATCCTTTGTAGGCATACTTTAACTGACAGATATAGGGTAGCATACTGCTTAGGTCTAAACTGGGAACTGGGAAAGACCAAGGCAAGTTATGTAACTCATTATCTGAATGGAATTTACTTTGCATAGCTTGTTTTTGCATAGCTTGCATAAAGAATCCTTCCTTAGCATTTCCCAGGCAAGAACCAGAAAAAAAGTGGTTGAATGGGATGTATCGCATTGAGCATGATGAGTTCAGTAAAGCTTTTTGCTTTTCTCATTTTATTCAAAATCTGGTGAGATAGTGCAGGTCACTAGATTTATGTTAGTTCTTGGAGGGATATACAAATGCAACCACCATATGTATGATTTAATGACTGCGTAGGTGACTGGTTGTATCTGAGGTCTGGCTTTTACGTGTCATTTTCATACTTGTAGGTGAAGAAAATTACAGTTGTGTGATAATTCTCTGAGATTTTGTTGTATCTGTCACATTTAAAAGATTCAGATTTGGAAGGTGAGGAAATCGAAACAGACCTTTCTAAATAAGCCTCAATGTATGCCTGACACTAAACTTTTGAACACTTTAAAATTGCTACAGTTAAATCTTAAGTAATAATGAGAAAAAAAAAAATCCAGTCACACATTTTCTGAGTGTTTGCTTCCTGTTAGAAACACATTGTCTCTTCTGGTCGGTGTGTGAGAAGCGACGCCTTTGGTTAGATTTTTTTACACGTTTCCATCTGTGTGTTTGTACTCTGTGATGTGTAGAGCAGAGAGAGATCAAACATAATGCGTGCGCAAAACATAGACTCTTCTTCATTGCAGACCTGATTTTCTATATCTAAATGATACTGCTGGAGCTATTTAGTGTCCTCCAATAATTACTAAGACTAAAGCATTATGTGGTGGAGTATGTTAAGAAAATAGCATTTAATGAAGATTTGATTGTTATCACCAGCATTAGAGTTCAGTCTAATGCTAATGAAATTTCACAAATGTTACAGCATCCCTGTTGAGTCTTATCTCCATTGTGGTTCTGCATTTGGATGCTTAATACTGCCTGAGGCAAGTCAGCCTTTTAGGAAGAGTTGTGTTCACACTAAGAGGCTTTCTTTGTAAGATTTGTTCCATTAAGATTATGCACTACTTTTGACCTTGTTTGAGAGTGGATGTGGTCTGAATTTACTACTTCTCCCTTCTCAGTTACTTTCTTTTCAATCTACTTTTATAGCATATTTGATGCCTTTTTTTTTACTTCTCTTTATTTTAGTGATACAAATGAGGTAGACATCCCTCCAAACACCCGCGTGGGAACAAAACGCTATATGCCTCCTGAGGTGCTGGATGAAAGCTTGAACAGAAATCACTTTCAGTCGTATATCATGGCTGATATGTACAGCTTTGGACTCATCCTTTGGGAGATAGCCAGGAGATGTGTGTCAGGAGGTAAATGACAGTCATACCTATTTGATAGTTGGGAATTTGCTTTTAATTGTGTCAGTGAATACTATGATTTGATTGTAAGCCCTAATGTTCCAGTACAACCTTTTCCCTCTTTATTATTTTTAATGTAATAAATACATGGATATAAACCTTGCATGTAATTCTCTTAATTTCTCTTTTCTACTTGAAACTTACTTTAAAGCATCTGTCAATGCTACTGCGAGAGCAAAGATTTATACTGTATTTTAGTGGCTTGTTTGAAGGCAGCAGATGCTTGCACTGTGGAAGGAGTTTGAGACTAATCTTGGTGCTTTTTCTAAAGACAACACATTTTTTCTGGACTGGAGGCATTCAGCTATTTTAGCAGCAAGAACATAGTGAATTTTTCTTTTTCTTGGAGTTAAATATAAGAAGAAATATAAACAGTTTGGGAGGATGCAGCACTGCTATTTAAAGTAAATAATCTATTTACAAGGCAAGTAGAAAAAAAACAGGAGGAAGTGGCACTTATTACATCATTTGTTGTACCAGTCATGTGCCTCATTTCCTTCTGGTATTGGGCATTCAAGCATGAGGAGAGTGATGAAGCAAAGCAGCCAGCTGCAGCTTTAGGGTGAAGAACCCTTCTTGTCTGCATAGGCCATGTGTGTTTTCTGCACGTATTGTTCAGTGTAGTACAGAAATGATGGCTGTTATTACCTCTATTTTGCCACTGAGGAGATTTAAATGCAGAGAAATGACTTGGCAGCAGTTACACACCAGATTGGTGGCGAATAAAGAGCAGAGCACATCTCTTGGGCCTGTGTTACCTTCGCCAGACTTTATTGATTTTTAAAGCCTCACAGTGTTGTGCTGAATGCTTGCTGTGGGCTCACCTGAGAGGAGCTGAATTTCACTGGTGAGCAACGTGATCCCTGTATTTGCACACTGGTAGAGTATATTGCAGTGATTTTGCATACAGTCTGTAATGATATTGTCATCGCTGCTGTGCAGAAAGAATGCTTTGCCATTTCCTGAAAAAGCAGGTATTTAATACGTGCCAGATCCACTGATATGAGGTAAACCTAATTCAGAGTTCATTATATGCATAATTGCTCTGATAGGAGCCCATTGCTAAGAAATTATTCTTTTTTAGCATGACTTATTGGAGCTTGCTAGACTGGACAACAATGATGGAAACTGTCTCACTTGGCAAGTAGCTAATGATTATGTTGGAGCTTGACTGTAACATGAACTTTCTCGGTGAAGTCCTTTTTAGAAGTGCATTTAATTGTTAACCACTAGGGGGATTTTCTCAGCAAATTGTGCTTATGCTATCTTTGCTTTAACTCTGAGAAAATCCATTTCAGAAGAAGGAATGGCTGAAATTAGAGGAAGCAGTGGATGAGTAATAGATATGGAGTGCTGGATATGCATGTCCCACTGCCCTACACCAGGTAAGAATGGCAAGGGTTAATAAAATAAGTTTGCCCTGCAGTGAAACCATGAGCTAGCTCTTCTTTTATTGCAGTGCATTCATGAAGCAGGAAAGGCCAAAGTGGAATAATAGTAAGACAAAGTGGACAAAACTTGGTGCATGGCAGAGAGCAGCACTGTGTGGTCAACAACAAGAGCCTAGTGGGAAATGTCTTCTTCAGTGATGTGCAGCTGCTGTTTTCTTTCAGGAATAGTGGAAGAATACCAGCTCCCATATCACGACCTTGTGCCCAGTGACCCCTCCTATGAGGACATGCGGGAGATTGTGTGCATCAAAAGACTGCGTCCTTCATTCCCCAACAGATGGAGCAGCGATGAGGTACCATCCTTTAAAACACAGCTTTGTTGCTTAGCAGGGCATGGGCTCAAATTCCTAATATTTTTAATCAGAATGAGTAAATGACATTGACCTAGTTCTGTGTCATTTTGAGTAAGGAGGAACTTCACTGCTGGTGCAACCAGGCTTAGGAAGGAAAGTGATGTTCTCAGAGATGCCCACTGAAGCTGCAGGTGTAGAAAGCCCCAAAGGCTGCTGCCTGTCTTCCAGATCATGTATTGACAGCAGGCTGAACCTTTCTAGTCTCTCTGTATTCATCTGCTCATTTTGCTTTCTTTTCCCAGCATTAATAACAATTCAGTGGCTAACCAAACATTTTGGAAGCTAAATTATTTCTTAGTGCTGAGTGCACTGATGGTGTACATGGTGTACTGGCTGCAACTTCAGTGGGTACTGGTACAAGGAATGTGATTCCTAAGGTTTTTACCTTAAAAAAAAAAAAAAAAAGAAAAAAATCAGATTTCTTCTGTCTAGTCAAAATCAAGTCAGCATACAGCTTTTCTGTGATCACAGATGTACAATCCTGAAAACCTGATTTTAGCATCATTTAACGTTAGCATTAGTGTGTGATATTATATTTCATACTTAAGGTATTAATATGCATTGCTAGCACTACATCCAGACTGCACAGAAGAGCAGCCTTTATGTCTTACAGGAGCAGCACTTCTTTGCATTGTAGTAAGGAGGTCTACTGATACAGCCTTTCGAAAGAGGTGTAGGACTCAGAGTTCTTTCCAGAGTCAAATCTTGATGTAAGGGGAGTGCAGGAGAACCTGAACAGTCCCCGCTGAGAGTCTGTAATGAAGCAACATGGCGCTGGTAGAGTCAGAGACAAACCGTTGATGTACCAAACTTGCTGACTGCAAAAAGTGATTCTATGGAGGGGTCATTAATCACATTAACTGGTACAGCTTCGTGCTATAAAGTCTTCTACAGTCACAGAAGACAGCTGCCATTTGGGAACAGCACCCTTTAGATGAATTTTTGGAAGGCAAATGAACGTTTTAGGTTACACAGATTATGAATAATTTGGGAATGTGAGGGAAAATAAAACAGCCTTTCCAGGTGACTTGTGCCACAGCCTGCGGGAAGGTGTGCCCAGGAACACAGCCTCATGGCAGCTGCTGAGCCTTCAGGCAGGATGGTCACACCAGAGGCAACATGTTTTGTGTCTATCTCTAAGTAGGCTTTAGTGTGCTTGAAAGGAGGTGCCAGGTGCAGAGCAAGGCTGAGTGTTCCTTTTGAAAGCCAGCATCTATGTTGGTTTCCTTAGAAAAGACTCACTTCCCTTTTGTTGGCCACCAGCTGCAGTCTCATCTTCCACTGATTTCCCTTCCGTTTCCCCTCACAGTGCCTGCGGCAAATGGGGAAGCTCATGATGGAATGCTGGGCCCATAACCCTGCGTCCCGACTCACAGCCCTACGAGTCAAGAAAACACTTGCCAAAATGTCAGAGTCTCAGGACATTAAGCTCTGATGAAGCAAAAACAGCTCCTTCTCATGAAGACCCTTGGAAACAGACTTTCTCTTGCAGGCAGAAGTCATGGAGAGATGCTGATAAGTACCCTGATTGCAGTCGAATTTAAGAGCAACTGTTTGTTTGACAGCTTTGAGGAGATAATTCTTAGCAAAATCAGCTGAATTTTGGCATGCAAGGCTGGGAGAGGCTTATCTGCCCTTGTTTACACAGGGATATACAGTTTTAGTAACTGGTTTAAGATTATGCATGTTGCTTTCCATGAAAGCCACTTATTATTTTATTATTATTATTATTTTATTATTATTTTGATTGTTTTAAAAGATACTGCTTTAAATTTTATGAAAATAAAACCTTTGGTTAGAAGTTAAAAGGATGTATATTGTTGCATTAAAACAAAAAAAGGATGAAACTGTGCTGATGATGGAAGCAAAGCGACTTTCTCATTTATAATGAAACTCTTGCACTCCAGCATTTAGAAAAAGAGAGGGTCTGAGCATCTCGGAGAAGCTGCAGTGGAAATCATGCTGAAAGCCACTTCCCTGGCATTGTCCCACAGCCCTGTGCACGTTGGGGATTGTCCTGCTGCAGACAGAGCCTGGTTATGTCCCTACTGTCATAAATGTGGAGGCAGAATTCTTGTGAGTGCCTGCCCCTAGGGAGGTTGCATCTCATTTAGGATCACCCGAAGCTGTTAGGACACAGCTCCAGCATGTTGCTGCAACACTTCATGTCAGCTGTCATCTCAGTGAGGGGTTGGTTCTTAGCGTTCATCCCAAAGCCCCTCTTCACTCCTAGCATCACCAGGCACCAGTTGGAATGCTGCAACAGGTGTACATTTAAGACCATATTTTTAGGGCACCAGACGTTGATGAGCATTTTGACATAAAATTATGACTGTTTTTGATGGCTTTTCAGCAACCTTGTAGCCTGCACACTATGAGAGTTTCCACCACCAAGCTGAGACTGCGTAGCATCTCACTGGTAAGAGTTTTTGGAAGAGAAGAGCCTCAGGCAACACAGTTATCTCTCTCTTTTCCTCCATCCTACAGCTGCAGCAATTACAGCCATGTAAAAACTGAAGAGGGAATGAGAGGCAACAGGACAACTAAATTTTCCCTATGAAGTATTTTTCTGTGGAAAGGTCTCTGTTCTTCACCAGATTATCAAAGCTGAGCTGTATGGGAGCTACCACTGTACACTTAATTATTATTATTATTATTATTTTTTGCCCTCCTGTGTCCTGTTTCACATGGTAGTGTTCAGTTTAATTTTGGAAAAGATCCTTACAAATACTGCTTTGATTATGCTAAAACTATTTCAGAACTAAAATAATTGCCATGTTGGATTTATCCTTAGCATTTATGCAATGCTTTTTTTTTTTTTTTTTTTTTTTTTGCCTTTTTGGACAAAACTGATTTATTTGTAGTAGGTAGGTAAGTATAATTGGGGTTTAGCTTCAAGGATCCCCGAAGGTATTTCTAGTTTGAAAAACTACCATTTAATTCTTTCAAGCTAATGGAGAAAAATGTGTAAGATTCAAGAGAAACAGCGAGACTTGCATGATTATGGGTGTTAAAGTTTAATCAGGGGATTTTCATTAATTAGAGTGGTGGGGTTTTTTTTGTTTTGTTTTTGCTTTGCAGTTTCCCTGCCTGTATCCAAAAATACCAAGCAACACAAAAAGAAAATCTCCGCAAATTAACAGTAAGCCAAATCCTGCCCCAGAGGGGGAATGCTGGTTTCCACTGTCTTTAACAAATAGAATACTTGCATCAATGAGGCCTGAGTTTGCTGCTCTCTTTGAGTGCTTTTATTTGAAGATTTGTGGACAAAAATAGTACCTTTTTGTCTTAGAGACTTGACTCATAGGGTTTCCATTAATTTTCATTAATTAATTTTACCTTTTGCCTTTGCGCCCTTTCCCTTATGAAACAAACCCGATCTCAAAAGGGCTTGGATTTCTTTGATCTGACAAAGAGAATGGGAAATGCTAATGGCCAGGGTTGGTCCCGCTATGGCTGGTGAGGGGGTAAAACTCATGGAAACAGGGACGTTGTTCTGATATTCATAACAGTAGGTGGTGGACTTGGTTGGTCCCACACATGGCACGTGCAAGTTCAGTCCTTGCAGGTCCTGGGTAAGCAGTCACTCAGCAGGAAGCCTCTCTCCTGCTCTGTCGTATTTTCCTCAAATACAACTTTTTTTTTTTTTTTTTTTTTAACTTTAAAGATGATTTATTTTTCTGAAAGTGTTTTGGAGGGGGTTTTGCTGGCTGGTGCCTCCTGCCAATGGTTTACTGGACACAATGGCTCTCCAAGATATGTGCTGTCAGTGTGCTGTGAAAGTGTGCTTGTTCTCTGAACGAGCCTTGTTATTTTTTTCAGTCCAGGAGAAATCTGAAATACTGGTTGATAGGTTACATGAAGTGTCTATGTTAAGTGTTCAAGTTAATGTTTAGGGCTTTATATATATATATATATATACACACACACAGCTGGGTGTCTGGAATAACTTCAGTATGTGGGTTGAGAGTAAAATATTATGGATGGTAAAGCACTAAATAAAACATAATATTTATTTATGAAAATGCATAACTGACAAATCACTGCAACGGTGCTATTTAGGAAAATATATATATATATATATGTGTGTATATATAGATGAGGAGACACACACCTGAGAAAGCAGAGGTCTGCATTTATGTGAGTAACTGCCCATTTTCTTCTTAGACACAAAAGGCTGCACTTTCCCCCTCAAATCTCCTACCCACTATAATCAATGACACTGTAAAGGTGTATTTCCTAAGACCTGAAAATGGCTTAAGGCAAGCTTGCAAGTTATTTCTTTTAGCACAGTGACATTTGAGTTGCTGGCTGCAAGGTTGACTTTATGCAATACTTCAGATGAAGTTATTACAGTTTTAAGGTGCCCGGTGACACACATTAGTACATTCATTTTACCAATTATAGACTCTTAATGGCATTTCCAGATTTGGTAGTTTCACAGCGTGCATTGATTTGGGCTTGGAAGTTGGTAGTAAAATTAATTGGTGTTTTAATGCTGTCAGGTTTGATAATCCAGTTTTCTAATGTGGAAAATTTAGTTTAGTGACTTACTGGCATAGACAAGTTGGCATAGGGAGACAAAGAAAAAAAATACAACAAAGAAGAAGAGAGAGATGCCACCTAGCAACTGCTATCCTTTCTCTAGCACAGAATTATTTCTATTAAAGAAAAGGTTGGTGATGTAAAGACTAAGAAACTAATTTGTGTTCTTTTTTGAGAACCAGTGCCTTATTAAACCTGTAAATACTGTAATTAGAAACCTGGGGAACACACTGTTCTGTTGTATTTGTTCAAATTGTATATGGATGTTTTAACGTTCCCCCAAATAAAATTGTTTCCATCTCCCCATGAAATAGATTGCTTTTATTTCTATTTACTTTTCATGCATTTGAAAAGCACTACCTTTGGGTTTTGTTTCACTGGCTAGATTGTTTTGACCATGACACATTTTATTTATTTGTTTATATAAGATTTTTTCACGGCAAGGAAGTTAACAGTAAGATGTCGTGTGTGCTTCGTTGGCTTTAAAAAAAAAATAAAAAAATGCATAACTCCTTTCACAACCTAGTGAAGAGAGAAATAGTAATTATAAGTGTTATCATTAATAGAGCAGTCACTTGCATTTTGTGGCTGATTATGAAAATTCATAGAAACTTGGCATTTGAATAATTTTATGTGAATCTCCTCCCTCCTCCCATCCATTCTTCCCCAGTTTATTTATTAATTATGTCTACTTTTTTTAATAGAAAGAAGGTGCAGAATGTAATTGTGTGCAGGCTTGGTTTCCCAGCCCAGTGGTTCAGCACTGTGTCGTAACTCCAATACATGTCATATATAACCTCACTCTAACAGAATAGATAATCATAAGTTGAAACAAAAAAGACAGGAGACAGTGGGCAGAGGTTGCCTGCGTCCTATTTTTAACAGAGAAGCCAGAGGAGAAGAGGAGCCACTGCCCACTGGAGGCCTCATAGTGACACTTTTCCCTTGCAACCATGTGTATGGGAACTGCTGAGTCACAGCCTGAACTACTGATGGAGCACCTGGGGAAAGGATCCAGTCAGCTGTGGGAGCACAGGTGAAGGCAATTCACCTGTGTAACTGGAAGGGGTGGAGCCAGGCTGCACCTCTCTTAGACCTCATTTAAGGGCTGACTGCTGTTGGGCAAGGATCTCTGGTTGTGGATCCTTCATTGGTAAAGCTTTCCTCCGCGAACCTGGCATCTTCTGATATGAGTAAGCAATCATCTTCCCTTCCTTTATAGCGCTTCTCTATCATGCTGGTCCTTCTGTCAGCATGCTTTTATTGTAATGCTCTTTCCATCGTATTGATCTGTCCAATTGCTATACCATGGCACACCCTGCTGGTGTCCCACATGGGCAAGGCGGCCTGAGCACCTGGCACCTGGCCACTATTATAGCTCACATCAGGAATGGTAATAGAAGGAAATTAAAATTAAGATACTAAATCCTACAAAAGCTTTCTGTAATCCAAGCCCAGGACAGGCTAATTATTGTAAAGTTGTGTCCTATTCCAGCTGGCCTTCAGCAAACCTGGCACAGAAGCTTATTGCCAGTTTCTCAGCTTTTGGGCTGTTCTGGGCTGTGTTCTGCTTTTTTTTTTTTTTTTTTTTTTTTTTTTTTTTTGCACAGGCCATGGTAAGCAGGACAGGCTCTGACTTCTAGCATGCAGCTGGCAGTTTCACGGGGGCCATTCCTCACCAGCACCCCACGAAGGGGCAGCCCCATATGGCCATCTCAGCCATACACCTGATGATGTATTTTCCTACCTGTTGCTTTTTGCCATCTTTGACTGTGGTAATGAAATGCTGCCCTAGAAGAATTACCCAAAGTGATTCTTCCCCAGGTCTCTGGCTGTTCTCTGTGGAGATATGGGCTTGAGGTGAGAGCTGGTGTACTGAACAATATAGTGCAAGAAAAGCTGTATTACAAGGAGATTTTATGCACGGAAGCATTTCTTTTGAGTAGTTTGTTGATGTTTTAATTAAACTAAATTAAAGGCCCCTTATTCCTTCCAACCAGGAACTAAACCATGGAACTAAACAATGGAACACAAAGTAGTAGCATTTTTTTTTTTTTTTTTCCAGTTGCTTATAAATATAATTTATTACCTGTTTAAAAATTCTTTCTTACACTTTGTA